GATTTTCAGGGGTCAGTGGAATTTCCTTAACTTGCGCAAAGCATTCACTTAAGGTAGGATCTTCCTTTTCTTCTTGTATGAAAGATTATTAGGGTTTCTCATAGTAACCAGATCAGCTGTTTCCCTCTCTTTTATTTCAAGAAGATTTCCATTATTTTCCTCAGTGGCTTCAATTTGCCTTCCCTGAGAGCAAGATGTCACAAAAGCATTTTGCACATGCTCAGCTAAATCCAGACCTATTAAACACAGGACAGGAATTTGATCAGATATGGCCACCTTCCAAACTCCTGACCATCCCTTATATTTCACTGGTATTGTTGCTATGGGCAGCACCACTATTTTAGAACCAATTCCATTGATAGAAATATTTTCCTGGTCTAACACATTTTCCTTAGGGACTATATCAGGGTGACATACTGTGACTTGTGAACAAGAATCTTTTAGTGCTAGATACTTACTATTATCAACATAAATAGCATCTCCTGAGCTGCGTAGAAGAAGATTCTGATCACTTTCTATCAAAAAGCACTGGACAATCCTGGCCACAGGGGGCTGTTGGCTCTCTGACCCCTCTTTTACTTGCGTTGCTACGGCAACAGCTTCAACTACTGCATTCTTAACTGTTCCATCATGTTGTACAGAAAAACACCTTCTTAAGGGGACTAGAATCTCCACCTTTATGCTGATGTTGTACAGAAAAACACCTTCTTAGGGGGGACTAGAATCTCCACCTTTATGCTGATTACAATCCCTAGTCTTTTGAGTTTCACACTAAGCCCAAATATGACCTTTTTCTCCACATGCATAACATTGTTTACGGACCTGGGGTTCAAAATAAAGAGCCTTGTTAACCTTTGCCTCAGAGCTATTATGTTTCAGATGACTCTGCTCTGTGGATGAGGGTTTGTTTCCAAAATGGCTTCCAGTAGCTTGGGTCCTTCTGAGGTAATCTCTACTGAGTATGGCCCCTCTTCTCCTGTCGTCCCACACTTTCCTACCAATTTTACCTCAGAAAACTTGGGGTCTCTTATCTCACTGATGCAATCTGCATTTTCACCTGCTTCTATTAAATTGTTAGGATTTTTGTCTTTAACTAAGTAACGCAATTCTCCAGGCAAAATAGAATAAAATTGTTCTAACTCAATCACATTTTTCATCTGCTCTAGAGAAGTGATATTTTCACGTTCCATCAATTTGTCCAAACAGTGAGTAAGTTTAGCCCCTAACTGAGAATAAGATTCTTCAGGCTTTTTGATAAGAGAATGGAATTTTCTCCTCAAGTGTTCTGCATTTATGCCAAATCTTGAATAAACCAATTTTCTATTGGTCTCAAAATCACATTTCTCTTGCAATATCATTATCACCTTCTCTACCTATTTTCTTAACCAGCCTTATCACTCAGTATCTGTTCCCTCTCTCTCTCTCTGACTAACCAGCCCTTATCTCTATCTGGATCTCATCCTTATCTCTATCTGACTCCTCCTCCTCCTTCCAAGCCTTCATATATCTGCTGACTCCACCTCTCCAGTCCTCTCATAGGCTCATGCAAATTAGCTTATGACTATGAATGACATGAGTGATGTGGGGCAATCGTCACAATGGGCCTATAGCTGTAATGGAGGACAATACAGTCTGTATTGAAATAGCTACATTGGAGGAAGTAAAAGGCAGGTCAAAGCATATTGACATCAGATTTTGCTACGTCAGAGAGGCTGTAAAAGCAAAACAAATAAAATTGTAATATTGTCCATCAAGCTGATGTTTTCACGAAGCCTCTTACATTCCAAAATCATAAAGAAGCAGTAGAAGCACTTGGAGTTAAAGAAATGAATGTAATGAAATAAATGTATGCTAATGCAATTGTTAGTGCAGGTGGAGTTATTTAGTCACTGCCTATGTGACAAGAAGGACACAGCTGTGTGGAATTAACTACCATGAGGTGAACCACTAATTTGATTGATTGGAGGTAGTATAAATTAAGAGGCTGGTTAGTGTGCCTTTTGCAGTTCTATTTTGACTGTCATAGTTACATTCTGTCCGTTTGACTGCTGAATGCCTATGTTTATGTTCCTGTGAGCACTATGTAAATATATACAGTAAGTAAATATTCTCTACACTTATTCCTGGTGTCTTCATGTGTGCCTTACCATGCAGGAGCTTCTGGTCCAAATCTTCATAAAGAGAAAATCTTCTGCTGTGATTTTAAATGCTAACATATATTCTAGCATCATATCTTTTAGCTTTTGTTTCTGTTCATGGGGTTTTCTTGGCAAAGACACTGGAGTGGCTTGCCAGTTCCTGCTCCAGGTGGATCGCATTTAGTCAGAACTCTCCACTATGACCTGTCTGTCTTGGGTGTCCCTGCATGGCCTAGCCTATAGCTTCTCTGAGATACTCAAGCCCCTTCGCCAAGATAAAGCATCAGTCTGTGAAGGGGGGGGGTCTCAAGCCCATAAAATATTGCCTCATAGTAATAATTGGAAGGTGTGTGTCTTCTGTACATGTAAGGGTAATTGTTCTTACTTGTCAAGATGGTATTTTCTCCTTTGGATTCTTTTTTTCTCATTTTGAGACCACCTTGCACATTTGGATAAAGGGGACTGTCATATTCCCCCAGTCTTACAGTACTTTGGAGGGCTTCAAGTCATTCTGCATTTTAATTGCATGGAAGAATCTGTCCCCTTTAAGATTTGTCATTATATTCTTTTTGACATATAGAATGATATTATCTCTTGTATGCCTTTTATTGCCCATTTTGCAGATTTGTACCCTGTGATGTCCCTATTCCACTGATTTTCTTCATTCCAGGAAGTTCCCAGCATACCCTATTGATACAATAGTCCCGTTTAAAAACTAAGTACACTGAATCTCCCATCTTGGCTTTGAGGCTTTTAGTATTAGCACAACAGCATCTACAAACAATGTCCCTCTCAATATGTTTCTGGCATGTTCATTTCCCTTTTGTCTCCTTGACTAGCAGTTGTTTTCTGCTGTATGCCACTGGGTTATTAGAGGGTTGAAAATATTGTAACCTCATCCTTATCAGATGCATGCCTTTTCATTGCTTTCATTATATCCTATCTTTTCTGCAAGGAGCTCAGGCCCACATACTGTATCTTGTTCCCCAAAACCAGCCTGACCATTAATTAGAAAAGTTTTAGTGTTGTGGAAAGAAACCAAATTATTACTATATTATTATTACTGAGTTGAATCCAGACTTTGTCATATTTAGAGGACATCCACTGAAACAAAAAGAGCTGAAATCAGTCTTTAGTCCCATTGTCCAAAATCCAGTTGTGCAGTTATGCAAAAGACATAACTTTTGGAAGCGACGTGCTATAAGTTAAGAAATTTCCATAGGCATATGTTGTATATGTTGCATTCTGAGCATGCAACAGTTAATATTCACCGAGATTTCTTAATTTATGGCAATTCATTTCTGAAAGTTAACTGTGCCACAAGATTTCTGCCATTGATTTCAATGGATCTACTGTAAATATAATGTGATTTGAGCCAAGGCTTTTCTTAATTTACAATTCATTATATTTGCATTTAAAATAGCATAGTTGTGAGTTTGTGACTTATTTTAGCACAGTAGGTTGCAACTAGAGTAGGCTCATTTGAATCGATGGAACTATAGAGGAGCTGACTTACCCAGTCCCCACCAATTCAGTGGGCCTGCTCTACTATGACTTACTATGGTAAGCAACAGGATGTCAGCCATAGAGTCTGATAAAGAAAACAAATTGTTTGAACTCTGGACTACTTTACATATAAATTAATGGCTTAATTGGCAAATTAATTAGTTTGCCACAAGACTTCACCTTTGTTTTTATTGTGACACAGAAAAGCAATTGAGTTGCATCAAGCTAAATAAGGGCTTTCTGGTTGGTTTGTTTTAAATTAAGATAGCTGAGGGAGTTAGTTATCTGGCTGTGGAGCCAGAGGCTGGGGGTACGATTCCCCCACTGTGTCTCTGGTGAGTAGAGACAATCTGTGCGGCCTTAGGCAAGTGGCACCATCCCAGGGCGCCCCCAGAAGAAAGGAATGGTCAACCACTCCTGAGAATTCTCTACCTGGAAAACCCTGAAAAGGGTTGTCTTAAGTCAAAATTGACTTGATGGCACATGATTATTATTAATTATACAAGGGAGCATAGGATTGCAGTCTAAATTCTTTATCTCTAGTACATGTTTTTGAGAGCTGCTGTATAGGTTTGGGGTTTGGATCAGGTAAATTCGTTCTTTTGCAAGCTCCTTACTCACTTTGAAGCACTGTGCATTTCACCCTGGGATTATCATATTCTAGTTGCAATTCGCTTGACAGGCCCTGTCGGTTTGTCAGAGAACCTCTTTGATACATTTAAGGCTTCATTAATTTCATTTCCTTTGGCAGTTTCAATGCCAGGGTTGTGTTCCTGACAACTTGACAGGAGGAGTCTATGCAAAAGGGGCTGCGCCTCTCAACCTTGAATGGAGACTTATCAAGGCACAAAACATGGGAGGCTTCTGGAACCATCCAATGGGAAAAGAGCTAATACAGATTTTAACCCAGTCATTCGTGTTAGATCAACCATTTTCACGCGTAAGCCCCCAAGCTTTGCTTTCTGACTTGAAAGCTGCACAAGGAAGAGAATTACTGATGATTCAGACTTCAAGTGTTGGCATTGCAGCAATGAGAACTAGCAACAAAGTGTCTGGCCTATGTTAATGGGAAAAGGACCTTAGGGGAAAATAAAACACATGATAGTGTCCAACGCCAGGCTGTGTGGACAGTTGTTCTGATCAGGGCCAGTCGTTCATTAGAGAGATCACGGCCTGAACACTGGGGTGCTAAAGAAGGGCAGCAAAGTAACCTAATTCCTTATTATTGAATGATGACAGCTGAAAATGGGGGGAAAGTGCTTGTGGGATTTACTGTCCATGTTCCAAACCAGCCTAGCCACTCTTAGTTACTCTGTAGTCTGGCTAAGAATACTATTCACTGGTTTGTCTCAGGCAATGAAAGATCCTGACTCTGATCCTCGTGTGGTACAAAGCAGGGTGTATTTGATTTAAAGCCCATTGATTTAGATCACAATTTAAATTAAAAACAAACCTATATTTTTGACCATTTAAATTGTGATTTAAATCCATTTGCTTTTTTAAAAATCATTGATTTTTATCCACCCTGGTACAAAGTAGCTCCATATTGAGGACAAAGTGACCATCGTCTGCACTCCTTCCTTTAAAACTTAATGTGGTTGCTGGCCAACTATCTTTGGAAGAAGAAAAATGGATGGGGATTAAATCCAGCCAGAGAATTCGCTGTCCCCCTCTGCCCTCTCATAAGTTCAGCTTGCATTCTGCACTTTTAGGGACTCATTCCTGGCTGCTCTTAGATACCTTCCTTAGCGTTGATTATAGAACTCCCACTACCCAGTATTCAATTCCAGGTTCCTTCTGCAGGCTCCACAGCGGTGAGCTTTCCTTTCTGAGGTAAACCTCACACCTCACATTTTGAGTAGAACAGCAAATGATATCTAAAAATTACATGTCAAAATGGGCCACATCTTTGTTTCATTAGTGGTACAGTGGTGCCTTGCTTAGTGACGCTAATTCGTTCCGCAAAAATCACTGCAGAATGAAAATATGTCTATGCGATATTAAAAACCCCATAGAAACGCATCAAAACCCCTTCAATGTGTTCCTATGGGCTTAAAACTCACCGTTGTGGGAAGATCCTCCATAGCACTACCATATTCGGTGCCTCTAAAGCGAGGAATCTGTCCCAAAAAACAGCAGGCGGCCATTTTTTTACCCGGCAGCCATTTTGGAACCGCCAATCAGCTGTTAAAAATCATCGCTTGCGATGATTGGTAAGCGAAACAGGGTACCGATCATCGCAAAGCGATTTTTGCCCATTTAAAACATCGCAAAATCTTCATTGCTATGCAATTTCATCATTAAACGGGGCACCCGTTAAACGAGGCACCACTGTATACAGATAATAATAATCATGTGCCATCAAGTCAGTTCTGCCATCGCAAAGCAATTTCGTCACTAAACGGAGCAATCGCTATGTGAGGCACCACTGTATAGGGGCACACTTCGATTGCCCACTCCATTCTCAGCCGCACTCAACACTCAGCCATGTTAGTCAGCCTCGCAGTGCATCAAATGTTGCCACTCACAATGGCATGTTACCTGAACATTTTCCTCTATTACGTTACAAGCTCACCTCTTCTTCTCACTCCTTACCCCATCTGCAGCTATGGCTGACATTTGCTCCAGTGGCTGATAAAACAGCTGAACGATTCAACACCTCTGTGGATATAGTCAACTGGCTCTCCCTTGTGTATCTGGTGATATCGGTTCCATTTGGCCTCCTAGCGATATGGATTTTGGATACCATTGGACTTAAATTTGCAGTAAGTTGGAACAGAATTGGTCATGAATTGGTTTGCTCATGTTGTGCCTTTCAAACTGTTGCTGGGGTTTCTTGGAAAGTCAAGGGTTTCTGTAATAGCAGAGGAGTGGCCCCCTTTAAGTGACTCCGGCCAAGTGGTGTGGAGAGCAGAAATGAATAGATAAAAAAGTGACACATCAAATTTGAATAAATGACTGAAAGCAAATACTTGGGCACTATCGATCTAAATGTACCATGGGTTAAAGATAGGCAATCGGTGACATTCCAGTTGTTGCTGCACTGTAACTCTCATCAGTCCTCACCAACATAGCCCATGGTGGACAGTCATGGGAGGTGAGGTCCAACAACATCTGGAAGGCCATAGTTCCCATCTCTAATCTAAATGAAGCTATAAATGTGTTGGGTTCACCAACCCCATCCAGAACTTTGACTTGCCAAGGTTTTAAGGAGAAAGAATTTTAAATATGTTTGGATATATTTCTTACTAATGGCAACTTAATACCTTCTGAGGGTGGTTAGGGTGTGTGTTGCTTTTGGGGAATGTGGACTGAAGGCATGGTTCTGCTTAGCTTCTTCATGCATTGACAGAACCTACTGGAAGGGTGACCCAGGAAATCTCTTGCAGATGAAGCCAGGGGCTTCCTAGTTCCCTGAATAGTCCTTAAGCTTCTAGGACTTCACCATCTTCTCTACATCCCACTAGTCTTATTATGGTTGTGAACTCTTTGCGTTAATAAGAATGTAGATAACAAACAAAGAAAAAGTGGCCTTCTATCAAAGAAAAGATTGCACACCTAAAGATGAATGGACACGAAAAAGGCCAAAAATCATAATGTATTCCTGGACCAAAAAGCTGCAGAGTCTCTGGCTGTACAGAGCTCTTGTAAATGTACCGGCCTTTTCAGGAGGATGGGTGCAAGGCCATACGTGGTCATGCTTGAAATCTGGTTTAAGGCTTCTAAACAGAACATAGAACAGAGAAAAAGGAACCCCTCTAGTATAACATTGTATCATAAATGAATGTAATCTTTATGGTTCTTTTCCGGAAACGCTGGCGACATGGTTTCTTTCCTTGCAGGTGATACTGTGTGCCTGGCTGAATGTGATCGGAAGTATTATTCGGATTTTCAGCATTGTTGACATATTGAGTCTGGGCTCCCTTAATTTTGTATACCTGCTGGTTGGGCAGTGCTTCTGTGGAATGGCCCAGCCTCTCATCATTTTTTCACCAACCAAAGTAGCAGCCTTATGGTTCCCAGATCACCAGAGAGCCACAGCAAATATGATTGGCTCCATGGGTAAGTAACAGGGCTGTTTCAGTTTCATTGCGTTCATCCCAGTTGCATCTGTGTTTTTATCTCATCCTTGTTACCTAAATTTCTGTGCATTCTATATGGAAATACATGCATTTTTACATGCAATTTTCCAATGTTCACATTTATTTATGTATTTTAATTAATGTACCCATTTTTCTCCATTAACTAAACCATGTTTGTGCAGGCTTTTTTCAATTGTACACAGATTGAGCTGTTTGAATTTTCTAAAATGCATGGTGTTTTGTACACATTTGTGGTCTCTAAACATGCAAGTATGACTTGTAAGATGAAGTGTGTTTCCTCTCAGGTGGTGCACAAAGGCCAGTTTTGTCAAGACCAACTTCAGAGAAGTTCTTTTTCATCCCTAATAACAGTCTTGAGTCCCCTAGTGCTGGTGTAATGTGGTGGCCAGCGGTGAACCAAGGGGCCACCGCTTCCCATTCTGCCACTGCTACCAAATCTGTTTTCTCAGCTTCAGTTCCCTGTCTGCAATTCAAGAATAACAATTAGTATCCATTGCTTAAATGCAGAGCAGGAGGGAAACTGTGTTCCAGTCTTGTTCTAGGAGACTTCCTGTCACATGTCTATCCTCTATCTGGTTGAGATAAATCAGCCATCTGATTGGCCACATGACAGAGCACCTACTATTTTATTTTTATTTATTTATTTTATTTATATCCGGCCTATCTAGTCACTTAAGACCACTACTAGAGATGGGGGGGGGGATGCTTGTTACTTTTGTTTCATGTTCACCCTGTAGGATTCTTTAAGGATTACCAGGTAATGTGTTTGAAATGCTTACAAAGACTGCAGTGCTATAAGAATACAAGTATAATACCATAGATCGTAACATAATTTAGATAATTAGGCAGCCAACTTGATCAGCCTTCTGGATGTGCTGAACTATAACCCCCACACCATCTACAGATAGCAGCTTATTGGTTGGGAATGATGGGAGTTGATATAGAGCATGTTTCGAAAGTGCCAGATTGGGGAAGGCTGCAGTAGAGAGACTCCTAAGAATGGAATGGACAAAGTAATTCTCAGGCCCTAAAATCTCCTGCAGATTAGGCTTTTAGCCTGCTCCAGTGGTTTGAGAAGAACAGATAAGACAAAGGTCTGATTTATATGTTATTTTCATGGTATTCTTATCACTCAAAAATATTCCCTTTGCTAGCTCCCCTGCTACTTTTCATTTGCAAAACCACCAACAGCGTCTGTGGCCACCTCATGTGTGCATTTTGTGTCTGTTCATCACCCGAGCGCCTGCCAAGCTAGCACAGTGGGGACATCTCTGTATGAAATGAATGACACAACCTGCAAGATAGGAGACCAACTGCTGAAGCCTGCCAGTTCTGACAGCTGTGAGGTTTAGGCACTGAAATTCGATGGAAATCAACAAATTGGTTCTAGTATCTGCTGAGGAATCCCCCTTTCATGTGGAAAAGTAGCTGTTTTTCCAAGGCAAAGAATCTTACTATAGCTACAAAATTGTTTCTGAAGGATTGTGATTCATCAGCCTGCCTGTTAATCCCATTAATTCCAAAGTTAAGGTATTTAATAATAATTTAATGTCTCAGGCTAGCATCCTGGTCACAGAAAGGCATGTGGTCAAGGGTGATCATGGAGTGATTCTCCTTCTGTGCATCCCGTCCTTCACACATTCAGTTTTGCAAATAGCCTGTAACCATCTATGTGAAGGAAAGCCCCTGTGGGAGGTGGCAGCTGTGCAATTGCCCTACTGGCACATTTTCCCATGAAGATTCTGGCCTTGATGGATGGATAATTTTAGATCCAAGCAACAGAACTGTAGGACTTACTGGAGGTACAGAACCCATCACGCTTCTATTTGCCCTGTGCATTTATTGCATTTCTTAAACATTTGGCAATTATATGATAGGATCACCAAAAAGGTCAAAAATTCACACTTGGCAACATTTGGAAGATGCTACATATAACAGCAAACTGCAGTAAGATTTTTTTTTGTCATTGTTCTCTTTGTTAAGCCTAACGAGATCTGATCCCATGAGAAGAAAATGTTTTTACATTAGATGGTTGTTTACAGTAGGATACTAGCTGGATAGCTCAGTGGTTTATCTACCTGAGGAGCCAGAGGTTGAGAGTTCGGTTCCTCTCTGTGCCTCCTGCGAGAAGAGCCAGCTTGTGTGGCCTTGAGCAACCTGCACAGACCCAGGGTGTTCCCAGAAGAAGGAAAAACCACTTCAGAGTATTGTGTACCTGGAAAACCCTGAAAAGGGTCACCATTAGTCAAAATTGACACATTATCCTTATTTACAATAGAAAAGAACATAAACAGAGAATCCAGTGAGAAAGTGAGCAACACTTAATGACAAGTTTGATTCAGTAACATTTGTCTTATACTGAGATTGTGAGTTTGTATCTTATTACATATGTTAACTGTCAGTACAGTGGTGCCTCGCTTAACGATTGCCTCGTTAAACGACAAAACCGCTATACGATGACTGTTTTGTGATTGCTTTTGCGATCGCAAATAGGCCACATTTGCTTCCCGACGATCGGTTCCCTGCTTCAGGAACCAATTTTTCGCTAGACGATGTTTTTAAAACAGCTGATCGGCGGCTTCAGAATGGCCACCCGCTGTGTAAAATGGCTCCCCGCTATGTTTTTGGATGGATTCCTCACTTCACAGGCACTGAAAATGGCCGCCCCTATGGAGGATCTTCACGGGACTGTGAGTTATTCAGCCCATTGGAACGCATTGAACGGGTTTTCAATGCATTTCAATGGGATTTTTTATTTCACTTAATGAGGATTTTGCTCTACAGCGATTTCGCTGGAACGGATTATCCTTGTTAAGCTGTACCTGGATATAGATCAACCCTACTTTATGAGGAGTCATTGTAACCATTTTATGTAATCTAACATTTCACATAATTGTCACTGTCTCTATTTCTTCCCTTTGTTTCCCTCTGACCTCACTGCTAGCATTTTTTCCTTCTTTATACATCCATCTGTTCATGTGCAGACCCATACACCAGCTCAAGATGACACTGTCTGTTGCACAAAAGCATAACTTCCTTGAAGCTGGTATCCTCCATACATTTGGGACTACAACCTCAATCAACCCTAGCCACCCTAGCCACCAGGGATGACAGGAATATGTGGCATAATAAATGTGTTTGTTTTTAAGGTGCCACAGGACTTTTGAAAGTTTTGGAGATGATTGTAACCATTAAATTAATTGCCTAATCCTTAGAAAAGAGGTAGATGGGCAGCCTTGTGTCTGCATGATCAACATATTTTGGAGGCTGCTAATTCATGGGGTCACAATAAACTGGAAGTGATTTGATGACACATAACAAGAAAACAACAGTAGAGCTGGCCTCCTTTCGGTTTAATACAAGTAAACCCTGGCCGAAATCCAGTAGAAAGTCACAAACAGAGTGGGCCTGTTGAAGCAGTGAAGCTGACACAGGTGTTGACTCACCAAATCCTCACTGACTCAGTAGGCCTATCCTAGTTGTGACTGGGTTTTAGACATCACTTACTGGCTTCGTATGATACTCATTACATGTTAGATTAACAGGAAACTGTAGTGGAAAGTTTCCTTTTTTGTGCTTAGTTTTGCAGGCTGTTTTGAAAGGTGGAGAAAGTAACTATATGGAACAGAATGACCAGATTTTGACAAACTACTGTTTGTTTTTTTTTTAAGCAGCTAAGATCGATATTAGCTGTACTTAAACCTAGTTCTAGGCTGTTATCACTATGGGTGGAGGTTCACACAGAATACTCCTCCATGCTACCCTTGCAGCCCAAATGCATCCCCATAGAAAAATAGCCTTCCAGAGAGAACACTAAACTAGATGGTCTCTCCTTTGTTGGATTAGCGTGGGTGGAGGTTCACACAGAATGCTACCCTTGCAGCCCAAATACATCCCCACAGAAAAATAGCCTTCCAGAGAGAACACTAGACTAGATGGTCTCTCCTTTGTTGGATTAGCTATCTCTGCAAAAGGATTTTATTATATGAACTTATCTAGAGGGAAGATAGAGGGCATTCAAGTCCCAATTGAGTGCAGGGTATAGCAGTACAGAAACCTTTTCCTCTGCCTTTTGAGAGGAACCTGAGAAAGCCAAGTCTTACTGAGTGCCAGTGTTCAAATAGTTATCTCCCTGATGACTAAGTGTTAAATCAGGCATCTGACAGGCAGCCCAGCAAAGATGTTCAAAGGAGCTCTTGATCACTAACAAAGTACAGATGTGAACTCTCTTTGCTTTTCAGTCATGTTATGCTACACACTCAGCATTTTGTTTGAGTTGCTTGGGAAACAGAAATCACCCTTAAATCACCTCTTTCTTCTTTTGATTTCCATTCAGCCAATCCACTGGGCATTCTCATAGCTAACCTACTGTCCCCCGCACTCGTAGAGGAAGGAAGAGACGTTCCTTTAATGGTAAATGAAATCTAATCAATTTAAATGTTCACCCTGTAGGATACTGGCCAATGACACTAAGCCACTTACGCATAAATAGCAAAAGAGTTAAACTGTGGTTTTCTTGCTTTTGAAAACTTTGGTGGGTTCTTGTGTTACAGCTCGAAGTGTATGCAGGTCCTGCTGTGCTTGCCTGCATCTTAGCAACAGTTGGCGTTCGTGACAAGGTCCCTCCCACACCACCAACAGCAAGTGCCAGTGACTCCAATTCACCATCGTTCCTTGGAGGCTTGAAGATGGTAAGTTGCAGGTAGAGCAAAATAGTAACCATGGGGGTTGTTAGTCCAGGCTGGGGTTAGTATAAAAATAAGCTGATTTGCGACCAGATCAAATGGCTATCTCCTCCAACTTCCTGCTCTCTCTTCAGCAAGGATGGGAACGTGTTGAATTATAACTCACACAATTCCTTAGTATTGGCTATATTGCTTGGGGCTTCAGGGAGCTGAAGTCCAAAACATCTGGAGGGCCCCTGATTTCCAAGGACTCATGAGCCAAAATCCTTTTGCACAAATCACGCGAGCATAAGGGGTTGATGTTACCAGCAGTGGCAGGTTGCCACTAATTAAATAGTTCCTGCTGTCTTCCTGATTTATGGTGATCCTATGACTTAATGACTTCCAAATGGCCCTATTCAGTGAGAGGTGAACTGAATTTGCTTTCTGTGCTTCCTAGCAAAAAGCTGACTGGTTTTCTGCAACCTAGATTGCTGTACATGCATTCCGTTTGGATCAGGTTTAAGATCCAAATGAGTTCACATCATCATCATAATCATCATAAAAATGTGCCATCGAATCATTTCAGATTTAGGATGGTACAGAGTTTTCGAGCTACTGTATAGGATACTCAGAAGTCATTTACCATGCTCTTCTTCCGGGGGTTCTGTATGACTGTGCAGCTTGCCCAAGGCTACACAGGTTGGCTCTTCTCCTGGAAGGCACAGTGTGGAACTGAACTCCTGACTTGGCAGCTAGGTACCCAACTCGCATGATAATAGCAAATTACAGAGTCAGACAACTGAAAAAGTAATCTCTGGAGTCAGTATCATCTTGAGCACTCGCCTTTTCTTAAAGCCAGAAGTCCTCTGAAAGATAAGGAAACATCCAGGATGCCAAACAATATTCAGATGGAACAACCCAAGGTCACATGAGAACTCACCTCTTACACCCATAGGCCTTCTACAGCATCCCTTAGATACTGGAATGGGTTTTTAAAATCACCCATTGATTAGTTTCCATGCATATATATATAACTCGATAGTCAGTGGGTTCTTTGTTCCATCTCCATTAGCTGACTCCCACGATGGTTTTTTAAAATCACCCATTGAGTAGTTTCCATGCATATCGTTCCACTGCCTAAAAAGTTGCCTACATCGATAGTCAGTGGGTTGTTTGTTCCATCTCCATTAGCTGACTCCCACCTCACATCTGATCACAAGGCACTGCCTAGAAACTGCAGGAGCAAAACACAAGGAAGGATTGGGCAAGGTGGGAGTTCTGAGGGAGGACAGCTGTGGGAATGCTCCGGCCATCCTGGATCTTATTGCATGCTGTGGCCGAGAATGGAAACCACAGACTGCACCTGTCTTCATCTGAGAGGCCAGTTTTGCTGTTTGTGTATCTGGGGACACTGTGCGATGCTCCTTTCCCAGGAGCAGCAGAGAAGATAAAGAGATTAGGGCTTACAGTGAATCAGGACAAGAGAAGTCCTGCAGGAAACCTTGTAGAACCTGTATTGCTGGAAACAAAGTACAGTAGCTGACACTGTCTCTTAATTGATACCTCCTTTGGAAGCAGCTGACCACATTCATTAAAATTAGAGGAACACAGTGATTAAAATGACAGTAATTCACAGTAATTAAAGCAATTAAAAATATAAGTTACACCATGCCCCTACCCTGTGCTTTCTGGACAGGCTTTTAACTTGTTGACACTGCCACATTTTGTCCAGCTTGATCTGTTATTCTGCAGAACAAGGACAGAAGTTTCAACACACTGTCCAGAGTATAATCACATGGGACATGATGTTAAATAATATAATGCTGTTTTCTGCAGGGGAAAAAACCACACACCCTTATCTTTTCATTTTCAGCTCATGAAAAATAAGCCTTACATCATCCTGGCCTTCTGCCTCGGGGGAGGGATAGCCATATTCACATGCTACAGTGCTCTGTTGGAACAGGTCCTGTGTGTCAATGGATATTCAAATGTAAGTTGTACCATATTTCTGACCCGACATGGCCATTTTAGAAGTGGACAAAGCTTATGGGGTGACCTACAGAGGGGTGACCTAGAAGACTTCTCTGAGAGGATTGTGGGAATTCAGCTGGATGCTGTCATGCGTCATAGGGAGATACCCGAGAGCTGAAGTCAGCAAATGCCTGGTTGTTTTTATGGGATTCTAGGGTAGGCGTCTTTTACCCTAAAGCACTATGATAGACCAGCATGGCAGAGACCACCCATTGTTTGCGCTGTCCCAATATGTTTTGTAACTTTGGAGCAATCGAATTTGCTTTATTATCCTGTCTCCTTACTGCCTGTGGGAGAGAAGTGAAGGGTCCCAAGTGCTCTCAGTCAGCATTTTTCAGGTGCTTCCGGGACAACTAGCCGATGGGATGTTTTTTTTGGTCCCAAGCAGGTTAAAGGGGCCAGGGATCACACTGCTCCCAGCTACTGCTTCTCTCCACAGAAGAGGAGAAAGGAATCCCTTCTATCTCTGTTAAGCGCCAGGAGATGGCAGGGACTGCCTTCCTTAGTAGGAAAATGAGGCCGTGGATCCTCAACACAAGAAAAAGTCAGTGGGCCAGAGGGTCCCATCCCCTCTTCTAGAAAGCTGGTGGAAGCAGGGGGAAAAACTGAGGTGATACTTCAGCCCCTCGCCACCATCATCACAGCAAAAGGACCCCCAGACAAATTTATGGAATCTGCTTTATACCCCCTCTTATAATCACTTGCTTATTTGGATAAGGCATCCGTCGCAAATATTTTGGAGCTAGTACTTAGTAGGTACACCCAACATGGTTTAGTAGATAAGAGTGATGTAGGACTGAGTTTGAATCAAGAGTTGTCTATGCAGTCTTGGGGAGCAGGGAGTGGCATTGACTAAGCCACTCCTTCACTATCTCACTTACCTTGAAAGCACTGTAAAATTGGTTCCAAATTGAGAGCACATAACATGAAAATGTGTGGTTGACAAAAGAACAAGTCCTGTGATGGAAAAAAAATACACACCATCTTATCCCAGTAAATTATAGACAAAGGCCATCTTGGTGCAAAATAATCATTCTCTATTTCACTGGATTTATATATTGGATCTATCCAATCTATTTGTTGGATATGTATCTAAGGTGCAATTGTAGCCAAGGTAAGCTGAGGGTGGACTATGGGCTTTTTGCTTCCTTCTACCCTCTTCTCTCATTGCAGAAATAATGTAAGAGATTGGAGTCAGCCTAGATCACGTATTTGAACACAGCATCTCTCTGACAGGTTGTGCTTTGTGAAATATTAGCTTGTTGTTGTATCCAAACCTATCTCTGGCAAACAAACTGTGGCTTGCTAGTCAGCTGCAGCCACAGCTAGAAGGTCTGGTTGTTGCTGGCTTAAGAATTGTGGCTTGTTTTGACATACAAGCTGTGGCTTGTCTATGATATGTTTGCATAACTGCCCTCCTTAAACAGGAAGTGATAAAAGAGTTGGAAGAGAAACAGAATACAACTCAGGGAAAACCAACTGTGATGTTTTGTTCATCCATGGGAAAATTCATGACTAAAGCAACAAGCCATGGTTAACATAACCCGTGGCATTGCATCACATGTGGATGCAGCCTGTGAGCTAGAGAATTGGTGTTGTGTTTTGAATTTTTATTCCCCTTCAGGCTATAATACATGCAGGCCGAAAACCTGTTGCGCATGACATTGTTTTAAAGACAAATCAGGGGCGCATGTAACTTGTATACAGTGTGACAAAGCTGCATACACCCCAAAATCACCAAAGGAAGCCTTTAACCAGAGAGAATTTGCTAGTGCTGCTATCATGTCATCACAGCTGTGCACACGAAAAGACGCAACAGAATTTCAGCCAATATGTCATGTGTCAGTATCTGTTGTCTACATAGAGTAACTAAATTCTAAATACAGCTTAATCTATACAAATCTTTATTCTCAGTAAAAAGAGGATTTACAGTGGTGCCTCGCTTAGCGATTGCCTCGTTTAACGATGTATTCGCTTAGCGATGGGGTTTTTTGAGGAATTTTCCGCATCGTTTAACGATGTTCTCTATGGGTGATTTTCACTTAGCGATTTCGGGACCTTGCTTCACTTAGCGATGACAGTTTAGGTCCCCGTTTCGCTTAACAATGTCTGTTTTCGCTAATTTAAAAGTGTCTTAAAATGTTCAAAAACTATTTTAAATGCTTGGGATCATTAGTGCACCTTGTAAAACCTTTGCAAACTTGATTTGGCTTTGTTCTGACTCTCCGTTAATTTTTGGTGCATTTTTTCTCCCCCATTGGAATGCATTGAACTGACGGTTTGACAAGCATTTAAAAAAGTTTTTGAACATTTTAAGACGCTTTAAAAATAGCGAAAACGGACATTGCAAAACCATTGGAATGCATTGAATAGGCTTAAATGCATTCCAATGGGGGAAACACTGTTTCGCTTAGCGATGTTTCCTATGGCGATTTTCGCTTAAGGACGGCAATCCGTTCCCATTGGAACGGATTAACCGGTTTTCAACGCATTCCTATGGGAAATGGTGTTTCGCTTAGCGATGTTTTCCCATAACAATGGTTTTTTTTTTAACCAATTAACATCATTAAGCGATGCACCACTGTATTAAACAGGCTATCCTAGCTCATCAGCCAGATTGGTAGCTTTTCTTGGTTGCTTCCTAGTCACTAGGAAACAAAAACGTGAAGGACTGTATTGTGAAATTGTTCCTAATCCCTCTCCCTTTCCAGTTTTTTGCAGGTTTGAATGGCGCCTTGTTTACTGTGGCTGGGTTCATCGGTGCCTTCTTCCTTGGGTTGTATGTTGACAGAACAAAGAAGTTCATTGAAGCCACCAAGATCTGTCTTTGTTTAACTGCACTGGCTAGCGTGGCATTTGCTGTGGTAAACACCTTATGATTAAATCATGCCTGTTCATCCATTAACTCAAAAGGGGCATGCACGTTCAGTATCAACTCTCTTTCTGTAGGTGTCGCAGCTTAGAAACCAGACCTATGCTTTGGCAGTGATCAGCTCGCTCTTTGGCTTATTTGGCTTTGCAGTCTATCCTGTGGCTATGGAACTAGCAGTCGAATGCTCATATCCTGTGGGAGAAGGAACAACATCAGGGCTGATTTTTGTGACTAGGTGAGTAGAATAACCAGGACAGAGATTTTAGATAAGTTGTTTTATACCAAGCTGGCTGAATAGCTCAGTGGAGTAAGTCTCTGGCTGTGGAGAGTTTGATTTCCCACTGTGCCTCATGTAAGTAGAGTCAGCCTGTGTGGCCTTGGGCAAGCTGCACTGTCCCAGGGTGTCCCCAGAAAATGGGAATGGTAAATCATTTCTGAGTACTCTCTACCTGGAGAACCCTGGAAAAGGATTGCTATAAGTCAGAACTGACTTGACAGTACATTATTCTTTCTGTATCATGTGTCATGATCTGTAGTGCTGACATAATTAAAGCAAAACTCAGAATGAATAGGTGAGCAATATCCTCCATTAGAACTAATTTCTATTTGACAAGAAAGCTTTTAAATTAAATGCAAGCTTTTATATTCTCCAGGACTCTTTTATCAGACTAGATGATTTTAGAAATAGAGTGGCGTGCGTCTAAAAATTTGGCTCATTCTTTCATCTATGAGGCTTGCAGTTAAACTCAAATAGAAAAGAAGGGCTGTGTTTTTCGGAGTAGAAATTTAAATCTTCACCTATTTTGTTCTTATAGATTTTTTTTAAAAAAAATCACTAAGTTTCTTCCCCACTGAGTAAGAATATGAGTGTTCATGCATTTTCAACATTGCAACACTCTTTTTTGGCAGGCAATTTGCAAAAGGGGTGTGTGTGTGTGTGT